CCCCCCCTTTTTCTTTGAATGAACCTAACAAGTAAAATAAAGATAAAAACATATTAGTTAAAATAAAAATAAAAATAAAATAAAATTCTACTAAAATTTGAGTTATGACATCAAGTATAATGAAATTATTGTGGATAACTACTGCATGCAACTTGTTGTTAAGCCTGAGCAATTTGATGTGATGATATCTAAAATTATCATAGTTGATCTATGGATCCTTAATGCACTCTTAGTACATATAGGGTTTATGCGTAATTACCTGTTTTACATTTTTTATTTTGAATCTTTTCTCAACTACGCATATATCAAGGTGCTTTAGCAGGGAATATGGGAAATGAAAAGGTAGTAGTGCAAAAGAAAGGCAAACCACATAGCTTTAGGTGTGGTTATCGCCACACAAATTTTGTTTATTTTGAGTAATATTTGTTGAATTTCAAGTGATTTTAATAATAATAAAATCTCTTAAATTATTTAATAAATTTGAATTCAAGTATGTAGTTAAAATTTTTTTAGATGGTTTAAAAAAAATATAAAACTAGAAAATCAGCATGGAGTCAAATATATAATAAGGTTGTTAATCTCATACCATACCAACCGGTGCAATCAGTATATATTGGTTTTGACACAAAATTGGTACATGAATCTTCTAATATTGTACTACAAATCTTAGGCCATATTGACTGGAATATTGTGTACCATATTTTTAGTCGGCACATATCTTTACCCACTTTCACACTAAGTAATAACAAAAATAATAACTAACGATTTAAGTAATTTAGTGTCTATCTTCTTCTGTTGGAAATAAGAGGTGCTAAATTCAAGTCACATGGCATGCGGGTGAGGGTGGGACAAGGGATGACAGATGATTGTCTCTTATTGTGCAACTAAGATAAAAAAGATAATAATAATAAAAATAATAAAAGAAGAATAGATCTATGAATTTTTCACACCAAGAGAAATTGAAAAAAACACAATAAGAAATGGAATCCACATTGCTTGGAAACTCACCAATGCAGAAATTGGCTAGTTTTTGAGGAAGTTCCTCTACCTCTTCCACTCAAGTATTTAATTTGTTTCTAGAATTTAGATCTAAAATCTAGATTTGGAGAAAGATCAATTAAAAAAAAAAGTAAAAGAAAATGGAAATTGAGAAGTTGGTGAAAAAGGAAATTTTTTTGCTTTAGATTTAGAATGTAATGGAAATTGGAGGATAGATTTGTAAAAATAAACCTTGGTCGAAACCCATGGTGTCATTAGAGTTGTTAGACAAGAAGAAGAACTGAAAGAAGAGTGAGAACTAAGAATGTGGATTATGGTAAACAAGTAAAGAGATTAGGGGATTTGCCTTTGATAAGTTGTTGAAACAAGATTAAGAAGTTCCTATTATGACTAATGGTGCAAAATAGGGTGTTGACAAATACATCAAGGGTTTCTTACAAGCTAGCATAAGATGACTGTTGCCCAAAATACAAGGGAGCTCCAGAAGACATTCTACACTTGTTTGTGATTGCCTAGCCTAGGAATACATCTAGAAGCTGTGGATCTTTGACAACTTATGGAACAAGTGGAAGAGCATGATGTGCAATTAATGGATCAAGCACAACTTGTCAAGAGCAATGGACGAAATAAAGCATAATTGAGTTAGGATACTACTTTCCAATCATATGCTAGTATTTGTGGCTTGGAAGGAATAAAGCATCCTTTGATAAAGACCTCACTTGAATGGTTCCCAATGAATCTAGATTGAAGCACTATCTCTAGGAAGTTGCAATTTATTCAAAGAAACAACATGCACAATCGAAAAGTGAAAAAGAACACATTTAGTGGGATAGGATCCTCCATCACAAGAGTTTGTTTAAGTTAATAATCTTGATGGATTTGCTTGTGGTTTGCCAAGAATCTCAACTACATGAGGATGCTATTGGGACTCTTTAGGTGAGTGGTTGTTTAGATTTACATAACAACTGAGGGTAGGACACACCATTGGAGCTAAATTATTTGTTATATGGAAGGGCATGGAAATAACACGGCATAAAAGGATTTAGGTGAATTATCATAGAAACAGATTCATTATTAACTGTTCAAAAGTTGTAGAACAGGACATTGGGAACTAATGCACTAACAACACTAGTTCAAAGGTGTAAAGCATTTATGCAAAGAGATTGAGTACGCGAAATAAGACATGTTCTTAGAGAAACTAACTATTGTGCTGATACTTTGGCCTCACAATTCTATCATTTAGAGAATGGCTTACACATTTTTAGGATCCATTGAGTTTGATTCAAGAGAGGTTATAAAAAGATATAATTGGAGTTTGTTAGCCCATGTGATTAGATAATTTCAACTGATCTTATCATTGCCCTTTATACTTAAAAGAAAAGAGAGAGAGAGAGAGAGAGAGAGAGAGAGAGAGAGAGAGAGA